ACTTTTGACTAAGTACTTTAGGAATCATCTAAATGAAACCTAAATTTTAATTTAGGATTTCTTTTGAAAACCAAATTATCAGTGGACTGCAGAGGCTTCTGTAACCATGGCAAATGTTATGGTTCCTGTAAAAAAACATCACAAAACCATCAGTTCAGGACAGATCTTGGTTCCATTAGGTCAAAATAGAACATCTTTACTTCCCAGAGGGCAGCAGCATGACATGCCAAATGTTCTGTGCATTTGAAAACAATCCTTCAAGAAACCACAACAGACTTTGCTGATAACAGAGCAAGTTAACATCCCTTTTCATACGATACAGCTAATGATAACTTTGAGAGAGGTGACTATAACCCAATAAAAATATCAGCCATTAGTTCATGATACACCCTCGCACAGGTGAGCACCTTCATAAGTGGACAGAATGTTTTGGAACATGCACATAAAGAAATCAACAAAAAGCAGATACAATCTCAGCCAAAAAAAAATAAATTAATTAAAGTGAATTGAATTCATTTTAGATCATAAATGAAGCAAAACCATGAAAGAATAATAATTTTAAAATACACGTGGATGATACATCTTCTTTCTGACACAGTTTAACAAAATCTGAGAGCTACTATTTTAGAATCTCTCTAATTAATCTGTGGAGGAAAACAATAACAAACCAAATCAAACTCAAGGTTGCTATATAATAATCCTCAGTGCAGTGTTACATTGCTCCTGTTACTTCATATGCACCATGCCTTTGGCAATGCACCAGATGTCTGTCCCAGCTGATTTTGCTTTTGCATACACATTTTGAGCAACAGCAAACCAAAAATTTTAAACATGTTAAAAATATTTTGTAATTAGAATCAGCCTCAGCTACTGGACTTAAGAGTATCTAATAATTCTAAATGTTACATTTCCAAATCCTAGCATGGTTTTGTTTTCCAACAGACAATATGGAAAAAAGTAAATACTCTTGCCTAGAAACTATGCCATTGATGTGATCTATGGTGCTAGAATTCAAAGAAGTAACTAATATGACTTATTTAATCCTAAACAGGGAAGGTCTTTCTAAGAGTTTTAGAAGTTGTTCTCTGACTTAGTGATGTGAAATATAATAAATGAAAAAGACATCCAGATAATTTCTTGTTTTAGAAGAGCTGTATGTTCTTCCAAAGTTGTGAAGTGCTTCTTAACCAGTATCTAAGTCATATAAATAAACTTCAAAGAATAAGTCCAAAAACTCGACATAGTCATAAATTAAACTTTTTGCATTTATGTAACTTGTAGGAGATAAATGTGCATAAACACAACCATATTCATCCTCCAAATATTTCAGTGGGACAACTGACTACTTGTTTTGAGTTTTGGTCCAAGATCTCTTAGCACTGACTCAAAATGAAGCATTGCAAAATGTTGATGAATTTTGTCTATTTCACAAGCTGTATGAGTTTCACCAATTGAGAGAAAAAAACCCTTAAAATATAAAAAGATTAAAAAATATATTTCAACTATCAAAGTGTAGGTAATTAAATAAAAAAAAAACTTTTAAGGAACAAATGCCTTACAAATGTTAATATATTCCCCATGTGATATGCAGACTATTAGACTGTATATATTGTGCTGTCTCAGATTAAATTCCCCATGTGATATGCAGACTATTAGGCTGTATACATTGTGCTGTCTCAGATTATTTCAACACACACCTTCCAGCTGAACAGCAATATGAAGTACATTGAATAAATTACATGACTTAAATGTGTCAAATATGTTCATTACAAAACCACAGATACTGGCCTTAAGACTAGATCAAGTCCTTCAAATTGTAGTCTCCAATCTCTAATTCATCATTATCTTGTAAAATTGAAATAAAGGTTACAAACACTAATCTAATTTCTAACACTGTGGGATTTACTTATGGTATTCTGGAACCATTTTTAAAATTAAAAATACACCAGAATTAAAAAAAAATTAAGAATATCAGAATACTGTACAATTATATCACTATGTAACATTATGTATAAATACTTGGCAGTAAAGCTTTAGTAGAGAGTGATTTACAATGAAAAATCTGTTAACATTTAGTTTGACAAGGAAAGTTTGCAATAGCAGATGCATCTTCACTGGGTGTCATTTTTCCATCCCACTGTAACTGGTCATTGCAGGCCATGCAGGATCTGTTTTCCTCTTTAAATACTTTTAACTCTCCCATTCACTCCTCTTGTGTGCATTTCCAATAGAAATCCTTCTGTTTAGCATGACAGCCAGATCTTTATGTACCGCGAGCCTTAATCTTGTTATTGGTGAATGTCCTCATGCCTGATGATTTTGTAAATTACCCAGTAAAAAATGTTGAAGATCAGAAAGGCTAATGGGAAACAAGCTCTGGATATTGTGTCTATCTTCTTGGCCCGGTCAATGAATACCTTTCTCATCTCATCAGGGCTTTTTGGTACAGTCTGAACAGGATTATTTGGCCCCTTTTGTGTCATTCCATCCTTTGCTTGTACACATGGACTCACTCCTCCGTATGCTGTAAAGCTAAACTGACTTTCCCGTGTATCATCATCCTGTGAGGAAAAAAAAAGGAAGAAAGAAAGAAAAAGAACAAGAAAGATATTTTTTTAATTTACAGAAATCTTACCTGTTACTAAATAGCAATTGCATCATTACCTCAGTGACTTCTTGAATCCAGAGTTTATCTTAATTGGCTGAAATTTGATCCCTATCAGTGTCTGTCAAAAATATTGCAGGGGCTTTAACAAGCAAAGAATCTTCCTATTTGTTTATAGATTCTGTAATCTATTTAGAGAAATTGGAAAGCTTAGCAAACTGGTGGTAGCTGGGCACACAACTTCTGATTTAGTTTAAGGTTCCCCATTTACAGTAAATATCCACAGTCTTCAACTGGACAAACTGCACACTGGTCTTTTAGGCAACAGCCATTGGGTCTGTACATTGCTTAACAAACCAGGATCCTGGCCTCTAGAGATACTCATTGTACAAGCACTGATTATGTGCATATTAATCATATTAGTGAGAATTCTGCCTATTTGACCACTGTATATTTGGTTGTAATTTGGTTAATAATGCCTCATTTCTGCTCTTCCTGTTGAATGCATCAGATTAAGAGAATAGTGCATAAAGTGTTTCAGTTGAAAACAAAATGAAGCTGAGGGCCAGATTTTTCTTCTGACTCATTCTTCTGTCAATTAGGGGAAAACTGGCACAGATATTCTGAATTCAGGGAACTATAAAAGAAAGTGATTTTTAATCAAGTGGCACAGAAACAAAAGCAGATGCCCTGAAAATAACATATTTTCATAGCATGCAATTAAAGAATGTGGCTTGTGTCTGAAAACATATTTTTAACTTCTTGTTGGCTGGTTATAGGTAACTTCAAGTAGTAAAAGAGGCAGGCAAATAGATGATACATAGGCTGAGAAGCTAGGGCCAAATTTGGTTTGGAAATATATTCCAGTGTACTCTTTTATTACATAGGTTACTCAATCATGTGATTTTTACTGCATTCACTATTTTTTCAATACTAATTTTAAAATGCAGTAATTTCTTTTTTCATGTCTAATTTAGCCTAGTTGCTTTAGGATTTTAGACTTTTATGAAATATGAGAAATTATTATGTATATATTTTTTCCTAAATAAGTACTTTGACAAATTATTTCCATAAGTGTTAAAAAATTGTTGAGCAGCTGGCAAGTTTACTTTTGTAAGAGAATTTTTGATATGTTGAAGCTCTTCCTAGCTTAAAATAAAAGGGCAAAAAGGTATTTATTTGCCATAGCAAGTCAATTAATGAGCATTTCAGTTCAATATTTCTGAAGTTTGTTTTAATTTAATCTCTTACTTTTCAATGAGCACAGTTTAAATGCAAAATGCCAAATTGGTTGGAAAATGCCTGTGATATTTGGAAAATCTGAAAGCATTTTGCAATGGAGAATTAATTCCAAACAGATTTAAAGCTTCAATCAAGTAGTACTTGCTAGAAGAACCATTGTTAATTACTTTGTTTAAAAATATTACAATGAGATTTCTTTTAAATACTAGTTGAAGAAGTTATCCACAAAAGTATGCAGATAAATTAAGTTTGAAGTGAACTAGTTGGCCATCAACATGATTGTCCACCAGGGCTCTAGTTATCACCCAACTGCAATACTTTCGTATATGTAAATTGAATAAATGTAGATGCTAATATAGTTCACTGAAACTATGATATTTCAAATCTGTATTAGAAATTGCCTTTAAAACATAAAAATAAAGAAAAATTAACATGAAAGAAAAGGAGGAGGAAAAATCACTGACTGACTTTACTATGGAAATGAATAACAGAAATACAAAATGATAGGATCATTATTTGATGACGTGATAAAATAAAGATATAATTACTATAATAGTGTTCCTCTTCTATCAGAAAAGAATGGGAAATAGCATCTTTAAATTAGTTCTATTCCAGAAGGCTTGTAGTGTTGTGTTCCAGTTCACAGAAGTATTAAGTTACAAATGCGTAGACTTTGAGAAATTACACTAAACTTGCTATTTAAACACCTTCGTATATACATTTCAAGGGTTTGTCTTTTCATACTTCTCCAGAAAATAATGCTTCTGATTGCACAGGCTGAGAAGGATAATAAAATAATTCTTCTGAGTAGCAGCTTTCAGTTATGCATGTTTTCAGGATGAGGCACTGACTTTACTGTCTCTGTTCTAGGTATACCTGAATGGAATCACCCCCTACTATGGTTTTAAAGACCAGTCTCTATTTTTGTGCTTGCAGACATCCTGTATCTAGTCTGACAGCAAATTGCTTGGAAATGCTCCCTGTTGCTGAGGAAGTGATGTGAAGGTCCTTCTAGGACTCCAGCATTTTTGCCCAGTGTCTGTTGGGTGGTGTCTCCGTGAGGGCAGCCAGGATGGTTGGAGCCTGCCAAGTAAGACCAATGTGCTAGGGCTAATGGATATGCAGGAAAGGGCACCTTCTGAAGCATATCAAGTGCCACCATAATTTTTTTCTGGGGTAGCAGTTGGAATATCCAAAATGTGGTTCTGCAAGTTTTCCAGCAGGTTCATAATGCAGTAAAATCACTAATTTGGCCTGAGAGTGCTTGTGCACAGCAGGAAAGATGCAGTTACTGTTATCACTGATACTAATTTTTGAGTGCTGTTTTGAAGGCATTTATATAAAATGTCAGTGACACCACATTTTTTAAAAAACTTGATTAATTTGGCTAAAGCCCCTCTTTAGACTAGAAATATTTCTCAGAATGCCTGTATCTGAATCACTGCTGTAGAGATCATCTAAAGGATGAATCCTGTATACCCCAGTTGAGAATCTGGACAGTGAATTTTCCAGAAAAGTCTTGCATAATCCTCAGAATTGGTTAAAGTTTTTGTAAACAATAAGAAAGCTTTTTAGTTTTCCTTTTGTGTATTTAAGTGCATCAGCACCACAGAAAATAATATTATTTCTAATATTTTTTGATAAAGTTTAAAAATGTTATCATCAATGAACTTTAATAAAGATTGGATATGAATAAAGTTTTTACACATTCAGCTCTAGAATGAATGTAAAAGTTATTTTGCATACAGCTACATATAAATATTTTATCAATTTATCAAAATTACTGTAATTAGAGAGTGGAAGTAAATTTAGATAACAATTTTTATTTAGAAAGTTTGAGTTCTTTGGAGGTCTGAAGGAAATAGTTTCAATTAATTTGTCTGTGTCAGCATTGTTCTGCAAATATTTAGCTATAAATTAACAGAAATCTGTCAGTTTCTGTGGTCTTGTGACTATGCTGTTTTCTATCCATATATTTAATAATACATTCATCTTGAGGAATGATATATAAGGGCTGACAATAACTCCATAACCTTTTGATTGTAGGTTGTGGTAACAACTTGAACTCTTATTCGAAGCCTTGACTTTGGTAACTTGAACACTGTATTTTTTACTGTCCAGTTTTGAGAAGGAAAGTGTTATTAAATTGTTTTGCACTGCAAGGAGTGCAAAATTTTAGTACTATGTTTTAATCCATATTTAAACAGATCAAAATGGATTATGATGAAATTAGCAAGACAGAGGTACCTTTATTGACATTTCACGTCATCACATACGGGTAGCAATGAAGGTATATGGAGTTCACATGGGAAGACATTATTTCAGACAAAAGGACAGGGCCTCTGTTAATGACTGGATATCACATTATGACAAATGGGACATCTTCTTCATAGTTTACCCTTAAATTTGTACTGTAGATTTGAGGCAAAGTCCCGTCTATAGGTCCTGTACATCTCAAGCCATTGCTATGCTGTAATGATTCACTGATTTCATTTCCATCAAGAACTCCCTCAAAATACTTTCATCAAAATGGGTGGGTTGACCAAAAAGAAAACAAAAGAAAAGAGGTGTGATTACCATTAAAGACAATCTAGTTTGCATATCTATTTTCCTCACTAAAGATACAGCGATCTTTAGACTTTTGAAAATAGAATTAAAAGATTGAATAGTCCTGAAAATTAAATACATTAACAGGTGATCTAAAATCAAAGTGTCATTGTGCAGTATATGTACACAGTTAATATTTTTCCCCATAAAATGTAAATGCAACTAAGAAAAAGCACTGATCATAAATGTGTTTCTGTATACCTATATGACTTCTAATTCTGCCATTTTTCCCCTTTTATTTTTCAAGGCAGAAAGGAGTGTAACTGTAAATGAGTAATTAATATTAATTCATTCTGAAGGAATGGCAATAAAATATTTCTGACATAGTTCTGTTCATTGGCCAGGTTTCTTTCTCTGTCAGAGGCGAAACATTATGGCTCATATACTGAGTATCGAATGAAGTCTCAAACTGGGAACCAAAATTTCCCTGCTCTCAGGATTCATTATGACATTTGTGTAATCATAAAGTTATTAGACCCTTTTTGAAAAACCTCCTCTAACTATTGTGGAAAACAGCAGGAGTAAGTTGCATGTTATGTTGTAATAACAGTTTTTATTTATAAATATCTTTATAACACAATCCCAGACACTTAAAAATTTTTGTTGATTTTGCGAAAACTGGATTGAGCCTCTGAAAAGAAATTTACCTTTCAGTTATTTGGAATCATTGAGTGAAGTCCATACTTAACAACCATAAGAATGGTGGCCAGAGGGTGCAGTTCTACCTAGGAATTGCCTTTGATGCTGCTGTTACTGTGTCTGGGAAGGGAGGCTGAAAATAAACTAGATGGTGTAAAAAAGCAGTGACTATAATTGGAAAAAGCAATGAACATGGCAAGGTTAGATGAGCTTCAGATGCCAAAATGTCTTGTTAGAGTTCTGTACATAATTTTATTTGCATAACTGTATAATTTACTACAGGTATCTTATCCAAATTCAGCCTTACAGTTCTTAAGAGAGAGACTTCAGTTCTTCTGGTTTTAATCAGCATTGAGAAGGTATAATCCTCGATTTTAATTAAATTTACAAAATATTCCAATCTAGGGAAACCTGCAGATTTGTTTGAGGATATGTTAAGAGTTAAAATTGAATTCAATGATTTGAACAAAGTGTCTGAAAAATACAGGAGAAGGGGCAGAAGGTGCAAATAGAAGGTACTAGTTTTAGCCAGGAATGATCAACTTCACAGGCATACAATGGAAAGTCAATGGCTCTGCAGTAGTTCTGGAAAAAGTTCTGCAAGATATGGAAGGTCACAATCTTGATATGAGCCAATAACATGCTGTTGTTTAAAAGGCAAATGGTAAACTGGTTTGGATAGGCAAGTATATAACTTGCATTATTTGGTCCCTTGGCTGCTCTCAACTGTTACTGGGTAGGTTTCATGTTGCTCATGTTGCAGACACAGTTTTGAGGAATTATATGAACTTAGGAGAATTTCCAGGGAAGGTGAAAGAAAAAAATCCAAACCAAACTAAAACAAAAATCTCAAAACAAAACCAAACCAAAAGCTGTACCAACTGAGAATATTTAAAGAAAATACTGAATGGAAATGTGCAAATGGTGACATAAAGGAATGAAGTAGCATATTTTCCATGCCCCTTCTAGACAAACTGTGAGAGACCAAAAAAGGCATTAATAAAAAACCTTTTTAAACCATTGGAATAGATTTCAGGGGAGCTTGTGGAATTTTTATGACCGGGAAGAATTAGTTACAAATGATCTTGATTTAAGTAAGGAAAACTACCTCCCAAAGGCACTGAAATTCAATCCTCTGACTATTGCTTCAGTTACTTGGTAAAAGTAAATACTTCTTGCAACAAGCATATCTTTCTAATTAAAAAGAAAATAAATTCTGGAAATTCTTCAGCTGACTTAGTGCAATTAGATATCATTGATACATGTTCTCTTCTGACAACACATACCTGAAATGAAACATTTACAAACCAATCTACTTTTGGACTTTTGCAACAGAGTTGAATCACAAGTTTTTCTGTACCCTTGCAGCTAATACGCCAGTGACAAAAATCTCTGTATTCAATTGTTAGAATTCACCTGGTAGAAATACCTGATCCTAGTAAAATGTCCCAAGATGGTAAGCATACAGAATGAAAAAGTCATCCTAGCTGCTTTAATTCTTTAATAGTTTTAGACATAAATACTACATAGAATAGTGTTTTTCACTTTGAAAAGGAAAAGCATTTAATGTTCAAGGAAGCCCCTGAAGTTTATTCTAAATGCAGCCTTTTAACATAACTTCTTTTCACCTCTTTTAACTTTGTGGTCAAATGAACATTTCTTTTTACATGATAATTTAAAAAGTCAACACAATCTATTTCCTGACATTCAGCAGCTGTTTGACCTAGTCCAAAGGGAAAACAAACATTGAAAACTTTATAAACATGAGCCATAGTAACTGACTTTGAAAAAGACAAAAGAGGAAGGAAAAAGAAGTTAATTTGACTTATGAGCCTAGGGCCTGAATTTTGTATTAGAAATTGTGGTGAATAAATAATAACATTTGTGGTAAGGAAGGCTAGTTATGAACTGCATTTCTTATTCTGTAACATGTCATTCATTATTTGTATACCAGAGGGTTTAGGATGTGATGTGAATTTTTTTAGAGAAAGAAAAATCTCCATTCTGTAACATTTCAAGTCCAAGTATACTTGTTGGGCAAGGAATGATTTAATAAAACATTGAGAAAGAGAGAAGCAATTAGATGAGCTGTCTCTAGAGCATGAAAAGGTGTATTCTCAAAGGAGCTTTAGCTCTACATGGAATTGAAGTGAGTCAAGAAACATTTAGTTAAAGGAATGTTTTTTGAAAAACTACTATTTCTCTAAAATTATAACCCTGAAAAAGAACAAAGAATTTTTTGGGTAAATTTAGACTGAGAAGCCTGTCTTGTGATGAAACACACAGATACAGGAAGGAGGGGAAAGCCACATACTCATGAATATATTTAATAACCTCACCCAGGTATTAAATGAAGAACAGAACTGAAATGCATGTCTCCATCCTTTGGAATCTTGATACTTTACTACAGACTCTGAAGTCTCTAAGCCTAATACTGTAATTTTATAAGAACCTAGTCATCAACCTACCTGAAGCTAGAAGACTGTCTAATGAAGTGTAAAATTAGAACAAGGAATTTTAAGTGTGAATACAAAACTACCATGATGTCAAGCACTGATCCAGCAAAACACTTAAGTCAATGAGGTTATTCATGTGCACACTTTTTTTTGTTTAAGAGGTCTCCTCTCAGAAGTGCTTTCTTTGTATATTGTGGATCCTTCCTCAGATACCTCTAAGGTGAAAATTCATTGATTGTGGCTGCTGAAGAATTGTCTTTGTGAGTTTTGTCTTGCTAGGAGCTAGAAAGGCATTTGGTTTGATTCTGAGGGAGTAAGATATTATCTGCCAGTTTCTAACTCTGTGGTTATAATAATTGACTTGAATTTAAGAAAGATATCACCAAAGTTGAATGTGGCAAATTTGCCTGAGATTCAGAAGAAACAATAATAGTGAAAACTGAATGAACTAAAAGTATAGCACATAATGTATCACATAGCTGTTTGTATTTGGTACATGACACATTTATTGTGGCTCACCGAATCCCTGTCCAGTAATATATGTCTTCCCCATCCCATTCTTCCCATTCCAAACCTTTAAGCAGCTTTCACAGAGCTGCCATATTCCAAGAACAAATACCCTGTCACAAAAATGTTTTGTTTTTTCTTCCCTGGTACTGTCAGTGAGAAATAAACCCCACATTTTTCACTGGGAGAAATGCTGAAAGCAGGTACATGCCATCTGAATCATCCTCTAGGCTACAGTACATGAGTTTCTCTGTGCAGCTGGAGAATTCTGGGACTTGACACACAGGGACAGGAAAATGTATGAAAATGTAATTTTCATTTGACTGTCCAGCTTGTCTTTTAACACAGAGTTTTACTAGCATAGAGTGCATAGGCTTTAGAGTAGTGCAGATGTTCAGTATCTTCGAAGTACAAGGGAGACAACCTGTAAAATATCTTTTCCTTGTGATGTAAGCAGTAAACTGAGGCAAATCATGGGAATGAAAGACAGCTCAACTGAATCATGTTGCTATGGTCAGACTTTCATCCACTCATGTTATTGCAGATAGTGACTAAAAGCCCATGGAAAAGCTCTGCATGACATCGGTGGTGGGTACTAATTTAATGGGTAGGCTGGAGAACTATTTACTCCTTGTAAAATCAGAAGCAGGAGTTACATACTCCAGTAAGAAATTTTCCTTACTGCTTGATTGAACTATGGACTTCAGAGTTCAAACTCATATACTTAGTTTTTCACTTTGCACACTGGTAGTGAGTTATTCTACTGGTATTCTAGATAGCTCCAGCTATGAAATATTGATTACCATTACTATATTAAAGTTTCTTACTAGTTATATCAACAATTGGCATTAATTAACAGCACAGAAGAAAAAACTCAAACTTATCAGCCTTTTAAAGCAAAATGTTTGTTCTTCCATTAATAATGTTATTTGAATAAGTGCTCTTTCAATAAAAAATATTTGCATGAAATACAAGTGTTAAGGCTTTGAATTGAATACTAGAATGAAATTAGGAAACATTATTTGTTGAATCTAAAGGTAGTACAAACTGCTGCAAATACCAGTAACATTCATTCATCTGACTTTTCCAACAGAGTGAAATTCATGCTTGTGCAGATGGCTCCCACATGGCCCATGCCTCATTTAAATCCCTCTTAATCCCTCTTTTGAGAATTCAAGTTGGATTTATGCAATTCATAGTCCTTGTAGTGACCCTTTGTCTATAGTGAATTTTGTTCTGTGCTGCCATTTTATTTACATTGCCAATTTAAGCTGTGGCATGTTCACCAAATTAATCCTATATCCTGGCATGATTCAATTAGATCCTCTGTCAAAGCTGTGAATACCATTACTTTTACCTTGCTCTTCTTCCTCTTGCGACGGAATCGCAAAAGTTCTTTATGCTGCCTTGACACAAAGTTTACAGCTGCATACTCCAAAAGTGCAGAAAATACAAAGAGCAGACACACTGCCATCCAGATGTCAATTGCTTTGACATATGACACCTAGGGAGAGAAGACAGCAGAAAACTGAGTATGTTAAAACAACAGATGTGAAGTTTAGTACTTGATGTCAGGAGGAAGTGCATTAATGTCTCCACATCCTAACACTACTTTTATCAAAAAAAACTTAACATGAAAGCTAGATAACAAGAGGAGCAACAATTCAATCTATAAATGTTAATTTTTTTTTACAAAAATATAATCTTTCACAAAATATGTTTAATTCATTAACAGTTCCTCACGGTGTACTGTATATTTCATTGCAAGCCAAATAATCCACAAGAAACACATGCTCTTCCTCCATTTGTCCCACAGAGATCTGTGAAGGGACCAAAGAATAGTTTATAGTGGGACCAGTGAGAATTCCTGTATTATAATGGATCCAATTTAAAGTTCCTGGAATAGAAATTTGAAGAAGGGAGATAGATGGGGAAATCTGATATGCTCATTCGCTGCTAATATAGACACAAGAAATTCAATATATAGTTTCAAATTAGTCCTGTAATTTTGACACAGTGGAGGTACTGAAAATCAGATGCAGAATAGAGCTCATTGCAATTCCTTATTGCCAAGCTCAGATGCAGGACATAATCTGAATCAAGAAATTAGGCCCTGTTCCCTCTTTGCATGCAGATTTACTAAAGCTTTTCTTATATAAGCAAACATAGCCTCAAATTGTGACAAAAACCATCTGTAGCTCTCTGGTAACATCTTACATTGTTTTTCTGAGTTTTTAGAGCATTCTATTTTCTTATTTGTTGATGCTACATTTGGATGCATTTGGATCCATGTATGTGAAACACAAAACACACTCAACTGTGTTGGGGCTATCTATTTTACTTAGAAAAAAAATGGAATTAGAGAACCTAAAAATACCATGTTAAAACTAATGCAAAAGTGGACTTTTCTGTATTTTTGCTGTATACATTTTATTTCTATTAACTGCAATGACACACGAAGATGGTCAAGCCTTAAAATGAAAAAAGAAATATTTAAAGCAATAACAAGTCAAAGAAACTGAAATAGTTAATCATAGAAATAAACTTTTAGCTATTTACATTTTGTAGCGAACTATTCTTTATACAATCATTCGAAGATACTTAGGTCCTCATTTTTCTACATTTTAATGTAAATATGTTTGAAACTAGTGAGTTAATTCATGATGTAGGCAGTTTTTGAGAAAGGAATATAACTGAGACCAGGTTAGAATACATGACCTTTGGAATTTCAGGCGTATCTGCTGGCATGTCATCAGATACTGAGATGTGAAAAATGATGAGTCAGTTAATGCAGGATTTATGTAGTACTGAATAAAATTATTTTCATTGCTTGTTCAGGTTTATTTGATTTAGTAGATATGTGGTTGGCTAAATAGTTGAGACAGGAGAAATAGAATATATTTGACTGGTGAACCAAAAAACCCCTAAATATTTCAAAATTATTTATCTCTTTTGGTTAAATGTTAATAATTAAAAGACTTTAGGCTGACTGTAAGTATTTATTTGTCACATAGCATTATGACAAATGCAGTACAAAGGAAATTTTTCCTACCTTTGGAAGAGATGCTCGTGAACCTGAGCTTTGTGTTGTCATGGTCAGTACAGTTGTTATGCCTAAAGCCACTCTGGCTGGAGCTGCATCCATATTGATCCAAAATGACACCCAGGAGAGAATCACAATCAAGAGACTTGGTATGTACATCTGGATGAGATAGTAACCCATCTGCCTCTCAAGGTGAAATCGGACTTCAATACATGTAAACTTTCCTTTATATAAGAAGAAAAATAGTTAATAGAAATCGAATGGCTTGTATTGTAAGCATCTACTGCACACCCTAAAGAACGTATGGTCTGTCAAATACATTTGTTCATTCATAAAAGATTAAGGTTTTGATTTCTGAACAGTGATTTTTCATATGTATGGTCCCCATTATAACAGGACTATCTACTGGAAAGAAAGGGGACAGAAAACCTGAAAAATTAAGAATTCAGTAACCTCTGGTACTCTTCTTTCCTTATAAAATCCAAACCATAATTCATTATGACAATAGGAAAGTTCCTCTTGTGATCACACCTTTTTTGCCACTTATGGTTTGGAAGTACTTCTGTGTGCAAAGAAAATGCTTGGCCTCCCATGGTTCAATATCTCCTTTATATTTTGGGTCAAATTTAAGCTTAATTTTATTTTTTTAATCTAACAAATTTTGGAAAAATATAGTGAGATCAATATAAGCATTAGGTTATAAATAGGATATTCTGCTAAATCTCTCCCGTTATCCTTATTCAAAATGTTGCAGCTCAAAAGTACAATGACCAAGATTTAAACAGAAATTGAAGATTTGAGACTAGGCAACTTTACAAAGGTAATTAAATGGTCTAATTTTATCCAGGTACTGAACGTCATGCAAATTTCACTGATTTAACCAAATCAGAACAAAAAAATCTATTGTTAGCTCATAAAATGCCATAAACCCATTTTTAATCCTATTCAGATTGTTGTGGGTTTTTTCACCCTGTAAACTGTAGGTTATTTCACAGATCTTGACCTGGTCTCATTAGATTTTCTACTTCTGCTCAATGCTCATATTAGTCACATATGAATGGTGCTGAAGGCAATGCTGTTACTGTAAACAGTGCATACATGGAACAGTTTCTCACAGCAAGAAATATACATAATTTATTATACTTACTTATTTTGGATGAAAGCTTTTCAAAGTTTAACATGGAAGTCTGCATTGTTATTTATTTGACGAGTGGTACGAAGCTTTTTGATTATGTTTCCAAGAAGTTTTTGATAGATATTTTCCTAATGAATTTTTATTTATCAAAATGCCATTTTATAGCAAATTGTTCCAATATAATATATATTGTATTGACAACATTTATGTAGTGGACTTATTTATGAGCTTATCTTAATAAAATAAACTGTGTATTATACTGTGACAATAGTGTTAGTCATAGAGAAATGAGTTTCAGATAAAGTCAAACTGAAATGTTTTTATTCTGAGCATATTAAGCACTTGGAAATATCTTCCAATTTCATTATTTTCATAACAGTTCTTTCTATGATGCCATAATGAATGTCATTCTATTACATTTTTATTCTGTTGAGACTAAAAATATTTAGAAAGACATTTGCTACGATGTTCAATTTAAAAATTGCATTCTGTATCTCAGGAGTTTTATATCTGCCAGTTCAATTATTAGTTCCATTCCTAATTGCCAGCGTTTTCTGAATCCTATCTACACCCCTGAAATCTGTGTCCCAAATCCTGGCTCAACCATCTGCTGCCCTAGCTTCAAAACTGATTTCTGCTTCAATCATGGAATGAAATCCTAGTTTAACAAAGTGAATGGGAATTTTGGTGTTTAATTCCACAGCCTTCAAAGGATACATACACAATATACTCTTTCAGTTAGCAGCTCAGTAACCCTCATGAAAATAGAAGTTCTGCACTGACTGGCCTTTGTCATAATCATATTCTTACTTCAAACTGGTTCTTACCCTGAAGACTTCTTTTTTTTTTGACATTTGTTCTGTTAATTGAGCAGTCTTGGACAGCAGCAGACTCCCTCATACATCACAGTATATCGTGGTAAGGAGTAACAGAAATGCATCAACGAAATCTAGGTCTCTTGCAAAGCCATTTTATTTGGCATCACATCAGTAGCAATAATTCAGCATGCAACATTTTCTTCTTGTAGGATCTTATATTCTCTTTCAAAAAGAAATGAGGAAGGAAAACTAAGGAGCACCAGAGTGCATTATATAAGCATATGCATATATGGAGTGTCAGCAAACACTGAATATTGCTTGTATGTTGTGGATTTTTTTTTTCCTCCAGAGAAATGTGGAATAAGAGATCTGAGTCTCTTTCCTGAGTACTGCAGTGGACTTGAATTATTTTAGATCTCTCAGAACAAAAATTCCGTGGTCCTAAACAGGGAACAGTAAATAATATACTAGCTCTGATATGGACTATTTTATGTTGTTGCAATCTGACAGGTCTGAAGAAGTGCAAATGAAATATATTGTAACCACAGGGAAGGAGAGAAAAAAGTGAGGACTATGAAGAGGCAAGAACTAGGACTGAATGATGTATCAGAGAAATTATTCTGGACAATATTTTTACCTGGTTTTGCATTTTTGTAAACATCATTGGCTGAGATATAAAACCTCAAAACCTGTAATACCAAAACCAAACAAACAAAATGAAAAGAGGAAAGTGAAGTGTGTCTCAAAGTGGAAAAAATATCTTTACTTAAATCCACAGCATGTATGACAGATTCCTTCCTTTGTCTTAGACCCAGTGAGTTTATGGCCATGCCAGGCTTATGTCCACTGCTTCCTAGTCAAGACCACAGTGTTCCTCTGTTCTAGTACAGCACTGAAAGATTAATATATGGCAACTCCCCAGGGAGACTGGTAGCTACCTAGGCAGACACTTTTCTCTTTTACTCCACTGCTGGCAATTGAAGAAAGGCAGCAGTTGGAAGTCAGTCTCAGACCAGCAACTGCTGCAACAGCAATGCTAAGTGTGGAAGAGGTGATATTAGGTTTTGCCCTTCCTGACTGAAACCAGAACCACCTGCATAAACTTGGATAATGAGGCAGAGTGGAAGAAAAACACTTGCACTAGTAGATGTGATCTCCAGCCAGGAGGCAGCCAGCAGAGGCTGTGCTGTTGTTTCCCACCTGAAGCCAGAATCCAGCTGTGGGCTTCCTTTCTCTTCCTGTATTCCATTTCAAATTCAAAGCCAGGTTAGCTGTGGTTAAATCTATTTGACTGGATGATTGAATGGATCAGAAGAGACATACCCATGAAGTCATCTCAGCTGGGGAAGGAGACAGATGAGCACTAAGAGCATTGCTCTAATAATTCATTTGCAGTACACAGAAGGTAAGCTCTAGCTTATTTTGATATGCACTGTAAATGTCATGTAGAGTGCCTAAGAGGATAGGAATCCCTTGTGGTATTGTGGTTTTCCTGCGGCTGAGCAACAAATTAAGAGCTGATGGTAGTTTCAGACTAGAGTTAAATATAAATGTGCACACAGTTCAGAAAATGAACAGATTTTTGTAAAGCAAAAGAAAGAAAAGCTATTGAGGGCTTCCTAAGGGATAAGCAGTTTTTCCCAAAACAATTTTGTAACACTCTTGTAAGCCGAGCCTAATCAGGGATTTAAATGTGCTAGAGGCACCAAAAGTGCTGACTTGATGAAAGTTGTACCTATGCACATGAAGTGAAGGTACTGGTATATATGCATGTGATGGTGCATTTTTCTCTCTTACCCATGTTCTTTGGTAACGTTAGATCTGCTGTGCTGGCATGATTTGCATGCAGTGTCTATGCTGAAACCAAACTGTAGTGAAAAAATTTATATTGTAGTTAGTCTATATGTTTTTTCTTTCCCCCAGAAAGTGTAAGTGGCTTTTCTTTGAACTCTGTGTTTAGATCACATAATCTTTTTTTGGCTGTCGCTGCTGTGGCTGTGAATAACTTGAGAAGAGCAATTTTCTACCTTAGCACAACTTCACACTGCACAGCCTTCCACAGCACATGGCAGGTACTCTTTAAACAATGCTATGCAGGCAGCAGCACATCCTGTATGATTAAAAAGTACTGTCAGTAGTAAGCTTTTCTTAACTGTACCTTTACAATGCCATGATAATGTTTACAATTCCCAGGAAGGCTGAGTAGCTGTTTCTGAAGCTACACAGAATGTTTTCATAAGGGAGAATCACCTTAGGAAGCTGAGCTAAAGGAAATAGTATGCTTGATAAATAATTATTAAAGAAAGGAGTAATAATATCTATTAAATCACTATGAAATTAAAATTGCTAAGTATAAACAAACAAAAAGAACTAATCATGCAGATATTCAACTGTTAATCCATGCAGAATGCAGATTTATCTGCTGAAGGTTTTGGTTCTTGAAACCACTTTTAGATACTAGTAAGTGATAGTGTGACCTTCCTGGTAAGTCATTGATAATGCTAATAATTGATCTACTGCAGAAATATTTCATGGATGTAGAGAGAACTGTTGCTTAAGGACTATATAGCTTAATGAAATGACATTAATCTATTTACTTAAAATAAGAATTTTATATATTCTGAATAGAGACTGATTCAAACCTTAGCAGAATTGAACTAAACTAAGTTAAGCAAATCTGAATAGATCTTTATGGAACCCTGCAGAGTACAAGTCTTGGATTTGGGCATCAGGTATTTTATATTCCAATTTCAACGTATCTGTCAATATGAATGTGGATTACACAATTCTGTTTTTACCAATGGCTGATGACCAACAAATAGCCAGCCAATGGCCAAAATATTGCTAGCTATGGAGATTTGCAAACAGAGTCCTGGGGCAATCGGGCTGTGATGATGGTGCACTCTAACACTGCATTTCCCCCCTTGAAAAATAGCAGGTTCAACATGAAATTAATTACTGAGAACAGCAGAAAAGGAGAAAGGGAGAGTGAGACTTCTTCAGTGGCTAGGATATGTTTAACCTATATGTCTGACTTACTTAGATTTAATGTCTTAATACAATAGAGCATTTCTCCCATTTTTCTCTCTTCTGGGAATCCCATTCTTAAGCAGCTCAATTCATTTACTCCCCACAGAGTTCCTAAGCATTCAAGTTCAAAATGAGCTTGAAAATTGTATTAGATAAAGTATTGACTTCTAGGTGCTATTCTAAACCTCTGTAGTGTTTATCATTTTTAGACTTGTAAAAACCACAGTTCTTCATTTTATGT